ACACAGCCCGGAAGACCCACACCAGCCATTGTATTCCAGCCGTGAAAGCCTTCGACAATACCTGGAGTTAGCTCTGTTGTTAGGCAAAATGGGCCCTTCAGGAGGGCAGCAGAGCAGAGGAAGCCCATTGTTAAAGGAGATGGAATGTTGAGGTCCTCAGCTGATGGAGGATGGAACCTTGGAGGTTCTCTAGCTTGCAATTCCCTTGGTAGGGCTGTCCTCGGCTGTACTGTGAGCTGGTGAGGAGGCTTCTATTCTTTGGTCTAGATGGGACTGCAGGGAAGGCTTTGTCTGGGGCGGGAGGGTCAATTTGGGTCTGATAGGATTAGACAAAGAGAGGAGCTGTGTTTGATCCTGGTCACGTCTAAAAGACAGGAAGGAAAAGGGTGCAGCCTCCATTTTATTTGCTACATTTATTTTCTCCACCACATATCTTACACTATTCTCTGAAATATTTACACCCTTCTGAACCGATGTGGTCCAGCAAAGCCCCTCTGCCCTTTTTAAAGCCTTATTCAAATTCAGTTCAAATTAAACTCATCTTTCACACACAGATTCAGGTTGCTGAAAAACATTTTCCAAATTAGATTCCTAATAAATCTAAACTTTTCCACCTGGCACCACCCTTTTATCCATGCATTAGGATTCTCTGACCAATGCCTCTCTAATTGACCTGGACCTTGGAACAGGAGAACAATAGCCAATTGTACATTGGCACTCTGAGCAATAAACAGGAAAACACCATCCCTCTGCTAGCTTTCATAATTAGTTTTCTTTGCTTTAGGAAGTGTTGGCCTAAAAGATAGCTCCTATGTAATACTTCTACAGAGGTTGGTGTCCTGACTCCCTCATACAGTTGCAAAACATACCTTGCCACGTAGCCTCTCTCAGCAGGAAGTTAGCAGCTTCTCTCCTGCTCCTCACTCTGGTCATGAGTTCCAGATTACTTCTCCTGTTTTCAAAGAACGCTGGCTGGAATCAAGCTGTTGACTAAGAAATACCACACTATCCACAGCTAATCACCTGATCAGTCAGTCAGCGGCTGCCATGAGCCTCTCCCTCTCAGGCCATGAGCTCACGAAGCAAGCAAAGACATCCTTCATTCAGCCAGATGAAAACCACACAGCCTCACCCAGTTAGCCAAACAAGATTTCTTAAATGCAGCAAATCAGTCCTACAAACACACTAGCTCCCTGACAAAACTTTCCTGTTCCCAGTTGCTCACTCTTAACCCTAAAAGTTTAAGACACTAATTTTGCTCCATAATCCACATCAAAAATGAGTTGAGCATTTTGGGCCCTCACTCACTCAGGGTATTCTGGAGATTGCATATGGCCCATTGGTTTCCCATTCCAGTTGAAGAGATTGAGTGAACAGAACCAATTATGGTTAATTCTGTAAAGCAAGGTTAAAAGAAGCACAGCTAAATGTACTGCATGAATACTATCACTCATGGGTGACAGGTTATATTCAAACAAGGAATCCAACTCTGGTGAGTTCATGGACATGTCCATGTAGGGGGATTTGTTACAAAACAAGTGCTTTGCTATTGCCTTTTTCAACATCCCAATCTAACCTACATCCCAGGTATTTCTGGTGATTTCCAACCCAGATATTAACCAGCTTAGATTTCCAACATCAGATCCTGCCATCTAGCTGAGCACCAAAATAGGGACTATTATTATTCCCCAGCAACTGTATTCAAAGTCATGCTGACCCTGAATATGAAGTTATCACATAGCCATTAATAGACTTTTCTTTGAATCTATTTTTCTTTAAAAAGCATCTACAACCACAGCTTATGATACTAAATAACAAATTATGTGTTGTATTTCCCATAATGTAACCTGAATCTTCCATCATTCAGCATCACTGAAAGATGCTGATCAGGTTCCATCGATTAAGCAACGCCAGCAGCTTTCTCTGTAGCAGCACCTACCCTCTGGAATGAAGTTCCCCCTGAAATTTGAATGGCTCCTACCCTACTGGTGTTTCTAAAAGCCCTAAAGACTTGGCTCTTTGCTCAAGCATTTGGCAAGGATGACTGACGTCCCCTTCTTCCTTTTTGTTCCCCTCCAGGTTTGTTTTCTTTGCCATTGTTGTTCTTTTGTCGTGTACTGTTTTTGTGTGTGTGTGGGGGGGTTGTTTTGTTTTTTAATCTTAAACGTTTTTAACAATTGTAAACCACCCAGAGTCTCTAGGAGTTCAACGGCATATAAATTTCATAAATAATAGACACTATTCCTTTTCTCCATGCAATCCATAATTTCATCCATATCTATGATGTGCCTCCTTACTTGCTTTTTTCCTAAGCTAAGAAAAAGTACTGCAGGCATTTTCTGAAGAATCCTTGCTGTTGCTGATTTGATAAGCCATAACTGCTCACCTTTATCTTCTCCCTCTCTTTCTGTCAAAGGTTGGGAAGGCTGCCAGTCCAGCAATAATAGCTGATACACCAATCACTCATTTGTTCTCTGTAAATGTATCTGGTTAAATACAGCTTAGCTTCTATCTTTCAAATGAAGCTTTTCACTGGCCCTGCTCATGTGGCACAGTTAAATGAGGGCTGGTAACAGTCTTTTTGGTTAATATCCTGCAACTTTGGGACTGGCAGCACCTTGTTCCCCATCCCTACCCCCTGATTTGCTTTTTTTTAAAAAAATGTGATCCACTCAATATTGGAGCCCTTGGAGACAAGTTAGATGAGACTTTGCCTCCCCTACTACCTTCAGTCTCTATTTTATTCCCACTGAAATTTGCAGAGGGGATGTAAAGAAAAATGGCAGGCACAGCTGGAACCTCCTCTCTTCTTTATGCCTCTCTGTATCCTGAGGTCAGAATGGAAGATTGAACAACAGGAGGAGCCCAAGGAAAGTGAATTACACAACTAACTTTGAATACTTCAGAAAGCTGGAGGGGTTTGTGTTCACATGACACCCTAGATCCACCAATGACTTAGTCAAATGTGCTATGCAGACATAGCCACTAATGAATATATTTATGAGTTGTTATCCCCTTTTTAATGATCCCAAGCATGGAATTTGCTCTTGTCATTGGTACTATGCCAGTATTTTAAATGAGCATACTTAGAGCAAAACACATTTGTCATTTTATTGCACACCAGGTTTGAAAAGTCATTTTAAAAGTTCTTCAAAATCCCTTTTTGTTTTTGACATTATAATTTAATGTCATGAACAACTGTTGCTGAATTATTCTGGATCATAATTTCCCTAGATTTCCCCTCAATCTATTTTTAAAAACTGGACATAATATAAATGTTGATTCTTTGTTTAGAAGATTAGCTATTTTGCCTCTTAAAAAAATAACTCTTAGTTGGGTACTAACTGGAATTGGCAATTGTTTTGTTTTCAACTCCTTTAATTAAATCTATATTTCATTTTTTATCGTGAATATTTGGCTCCAATCTTCCAATTGTATTTCCCAAGTCAGTTTCAGATATGAATTTCTGCTCTGAATATTCTACAGATAATTCAGGCACAAAAATGTAGACACAAAGCAATTGACTGTGCAAATAAATGAATAGATTTATACACTGCACTAAGCCATAATGGTTCACAAACTACAATGGCTAAGTGCACACGATACACTATATCACAAACAAACCATCTTATGGCTTATGAACCCAGTCCTGAACTTCATGTCACCTTTCTCGAATTGCCGTAGGTACCAAATATACATTCTTGCTACAGACTGCTACAATGGGATGCTTAGTCCATCTAGGCCAGTATTTTTCCAGCTGGGCAAAAATTGTGGACTTCAACTCAACTGCCAGAATTCCCCAACAGCATGCTGGCTGGGGAATTCTGGGAGTTGAAGTCCACAATCTTTGCCAAGTTGCTTCATCATGTCCTATTCCTCCCTCTTCCCAAACCTGTCTCACAATACACTTACATTTCCTTTCCATCTCTAATAGAAAGTTTCAGTGTGGGCTACAGAATAATTTCAATAATGAAGAAAACACTATTTTATAATGGCGAAAGAATCACGGGGTGCAAGCAGAAAGTGATCTGGGGTACCAACTGCTTGTCCCCATCTCTAATCATCTTACGCCCTAGGAAGGGGAGGCAGGCGAGGAGCGCTGGGGCCGAGAGAGAGCAGCAATGAAAGCAAAAACAGCTGCGCGAACAATCCAAGGAGCAGACAAATAATTTCTGGGGCCAGGCGCGAAAAGGGCACCCTCTCTGAGGAGAGATGTGCGCGCCGACTGCGACGGAAGGTCCCCGCCTGCCTCTCTTGGCCATTCAGCGTCGCGCGCCGGCCGTGGAAGAAAGCCCTCGCCGCTCTTGTTTTTCCTATCCCACATTTTTTGGTTCTTTGTTTGTTCGTCCTTTTCCCTCTCGGCGTGGGAGCCGCTGCAATGCCGCTTTACGAGGGTCTCGGGAGCGGCGGGGAAAAAACCGCCGTGGTGATCGATCTGGGCGCGGCCTTCACCAAGTAAGAATTCCCTGCCTGTTTTTCTGCCGAATCGCCTTAACCCTGCTTTTTGTGCCTGTGGACCTCTTTCCTCTCCCGCCCTCGTATTTTGCCTATTGCCAACTGCTTTTATACCGTATTGCTACGCACTGCTTTTTGTTCCTATTGCGCGTTGCAATGGGATTCCGCCGTTACCATCACCTCACTTTATCCCGGGTGGTTGAATGACAGATGGGTTTACTCGTCGCGTGGTGATCTGGTTTCTTAACCGTGCTTCATTGAATAAATAAGCGCTGACTGGATTCCCACAGTCGCTGACCATGAACCACTCCTTTCATTCCATAGTGGCTGTTTTTGTATATGTTAATCCAGAACCTAATGAACCACATACCTGCAATGCAAGAACCCAGCTTGAGAGTTCATATCTAAGACTGGCTGGGGCTGCCTTTGTACAATGTATGTATCTATGGTTAACTGAACCATAGCTTACTGAATTAATTTAATTGTCGAATTTCCACAACCCATAGCTATAAATAATCATAATGGTTGAGTATTTTAAGCTACAATACACTAAGTCACAAGCTAACTAGCCTACCACATTTAGTCTCGGGTCAAACCCAGCAGTAGAGTTCTAATGTTGTTGAAGCTATTTGTACTTACTGAATGGCCAGGGAGGAATCCAGCCTAAGTTTGCTCAGAAAAGAAATGTTTTAGATTGAGAAATGTTGTTTATGCTACTTATTTGGTAGTCCAGTATAAAACGCACACACTCTATGAAAGAGAAGGGAGAGAGAAAAAAGAATTGAGTTCCTGCTTCTGAGCAACTTGGTTGTAAAGAATCAGTTTAAAATGCTATTTGTGATTTGTCATATAAAGCAGTCTTATTGTGACTGCATTGCACAAGCTATGGTTTGTGGGAAAATAACTTGCAGATTCACACAGTTTGAAGCTATAAATCTTGGTATAAAAAATGATGGGAGTTACATAACACTAACTCTAATGTGATTGGTTTTGGCTTAGCATGATATATAAATCCAACCAGTTACCATGTTAACAGAACACTAAGCTCTAGCTTTATAGCGCATCACACCATTATAACCAGTGTTTCTGATTATCACTGTTCAGAACTTGAAATTATGGCTAACTGTTGTTTTAAGATTCCACCTCGTTATTGCAGCCTGCAGAGGATGGATGCTTAGGTTTAGCCTTAGAAGAACCATGAACCAGGAGCAGGATCGAGAATGACATGAGGCGTATAGTAGCTTAATTTGTTGTGTTAAGTGTGCTCACTGTGTTAGCCCCATCAATTCTTTAACTAGTATTGTCTATTTTTAATGCCAGAAACTTTCAAATCTCTCTAACAGAGAGTTTTTTTCTAAACCATGCCTATGATGATATTCCAAATTTAAAATATTATCATGCTCTTCCCTTAAATGTGTAACTGTAGAATATCTGCTGCAGTGCAAAACAGAAAGGGAAAAATGCCCCAAATGCCTGGATATGGACAAGTTCTTAGGCTGTTTTTAATAGCACTTCACCTTCAGAAATTTTTAGTTTTAGTTTGCTTCTGGCATGAAGTATTTGAAATTGGTTCTTAGTAGGACTGTACTGCCATTTTGTTGTTTTGAATGTGGATTTTAATATTTTTAATTTTCCAGATGTGGCTTTGCAGGAGAAACAGGACCCAGATGTGTAATACCTAGTGAAATAAAGAAACCTGGTATTTCAAAGGTAATATTTTAAGAAAATATAATATAGTTGTGTGGTTCACATTTTAATATGAAGTGCTTATTTGAAGGCTAAAATATTGTTTTATTTGCTAATTCTTCTAATGATATATCTGTATTTTTCATGGTGCTTTACATATTTCTAGCATTAACACCCATATTACTGAGGCAACACTTTTGGCCCAAGCCCGGCATCAAAGCCCACTGGGGATCATGCCTATCTACCTGAATCTCTATTATATTACTACCTAGTAGTATCACTTGTATTACGTTTCCTGCATAGTGGTACTGCTTTGGCTGTCAGTAGTCATAATTTATCCTCTTATGTGCTTAGCTTGTATGCAATGCTATTGGCAGAAGCTAAGTTAGCAGGTGGTTCTAATATACTATGGATATTTGCCATTGTAGTTCCCCAATCTATAACAACATTGACAGAAATTCATTAGTGGTTTCATTGTTAATTTACAGTGTCACTGAAATTACCTACTAAGCACTTCTGGAAAGCAAGGTCATTATTATATGTAGCACAACTGGACAAGATGTTTGATCATCAGGGTGGAAATAGTGCTGATGAGGGCCCAAACTGGTCCTAGAGGACAGTGCTGGCATTAATATTTCACAGAATATTAAAGGACAGGAACTGCAGAATGAAATTAAATAAGTTGTTAATGATGAATGTGAAAAGGGACTGCCAAAGACCAAGAAACAGAAGAAAGCAAACTGTATATCAGAACAAATTGTGGAAATTGCTAAAGCCATGAAAGGCAAGGGTTTTGGGAAGGAACTTTACAAAGAATTTTAGAGATCTGTTAGAAGAGACAAGAAGCAGTACTACAATGACATCTGTAAAGACATTGAAGACGGAAACAGACATGGAAAAAAAGGGAAGTCTTCCAGAAGATTTCAGAAAGAGCTTCCAACCTCAAATTGGTATGTTAAACAATGCCTATGAACAGATTTTAACTGATTCAAAGAAGATCAAAGATGAAATTATATATAGCAGAGATGTCAGCATCCAAGATACCTTAGAATCTTACAACACATACATACATACATACATACATACATACTTCATCTATAGTACCAGATGAAGATGAAGATCAGCACTCCAGTCATCACCAAGTTGGACAGCTCCAGGAATTGATGGAATATCTACAAAAATATGCCAAGCAACAGAAGAAGAATCAGTAAATATTCTAACTAAACTATGCCAGCGAATTTGGAGAATGCAGCCAATAGATTGGAAGAATTCTCTATATCTACCAATACCATAGAAAGGAGACTTAACAAAGTATGCAAATTATTTATTTACTTTATTTATTTATATTTCAAATTTAGATACCGCTCATCTCACAAAAAGTGACTCTGGGCAGTTCACAATAAAACAGCAATATTAAAATACAATAAAAACAATATAAAATACAATAAAAATAGAATATATTTAATTTCACATGCATGTAAATGGATCATCCAATGCAGATTAGAGCCCAATAAGGAGAGGGAGATCCCAAATTTTCAAAATGGCTTTAGGAAAGGCTGAGGAACAAGAGACATGATGCACGCTAGATAATTGATGTGGTAGAAACAACACCAAGTGAACTTACCAAAACAACTAGAGAGGGTCCAAACAATTGTGTAAGTGTAATATTTATTGATACAGCAAGTCAGTGGACCCTAAGCCTTGGGGGGACAAGAGACCACAGTAAAGGTTTCAAGAGTATATATAGGTTAGAAACATTTTAATTTTGATACATGTGCAGTATAATTCAGAAGACATTTATATAGGTAGTTATTTTGCAAGAAAGGCAAATTAGGGGAGACTTCTGTATTTTTAATGACTAGACATTACAACAAAATGTGATCATCTGACTTCTTTGTTATGGTAGGAGCTGTTGTGCTAATGGTGTGCTAGGAGTCTTACTTGTCCTTGAAATGTCAGGTCTCTTTGGTAACCTGGTATTTCCTCCTAGATCAGAAGGGGCACTTTTGCCCTGTTTACCACTACTTATAGTACTCTATGTATGGTTGCTTTGAAACTAAAAAGTCCTAAGAAAGCAAGTTTTCATTTATGTTCAAAGGTTTTCTCTCAGGTTACATTTTATTGCAAGTGGATCTTTTTTAAACATTAGAAATTTCTTTCACATTGAAAAAACCAAAATAAGTAAATATGTGCTTCATTTGATTGTTTTGACTATGTCAAGCTGTGGAATTTGCTTAGGAGAATAGGAATCCCAGAACATCTCATTGTCCTTATGTGAAAACTATATACAGGTCAGGAAGCCACAATCTGGGCAGAACATGGCAAAACAGACTGGTTCCATATAAGTAAAGGATACAAGGCTGATGATTTAAGGCTATACATTCTTCCCTTATATGTTGAATATATATTGAGGGAAGCTAGAGTGAAAGAAGATGGGTATTGTTTTAAAACTGGAGGAAGAAACATCAGTATCCTGTGCTATGCCATTGACATGACTCTGATAGCTGAAAATGCAAATGATCTGCAAAGTCTAGTAATGAAAGTCAAGAAGCACAGTGAAAGAATGGGACTAAAATTAAACATAAGACCAAACTACTGATAAAGGTACAGCAACCAGCCTTAGAACTGACAATGAAGATACTGTAGTTGTGGATAAATTCTGCCTTATAGGATCAACTATCAACAGAAAAGGAACCAGTATGAAGAAATATACTACAACTAGCACTTGGCAGAGTAGCCATGAAGGTCTTGGAAAAGATATTGAAATGCCATGATGTGTCTATATCTACAAAGGTCAGAATCATGCAGGCAATAGTTTTCCTTGTAACATTCTATGGAAGTTAAAGTTGGACTTTGAAGAAGCAGGATAGAAAGAGTATTGACACTTTTGAATGACTCCTGAGAATACCATGGATAACTAAGATTATTAGTTGATTAACCAATTTCTACAGTATAGAAGTATTGGAATAAATGATACTGCACTCTGTAAGTAATTGAAATTATCTTTAAAATATTATACATTTGCAATTTCTAACACTATTACCAACAATTTAATAAAATTCAGGAAACATTTAAGGCATGTAGGCCTTACAAGCAACTTTCTTGGTTGTGGAGCAGCAATCATATTACACAGCATCCTTTCCAAAACTAGGCAAGGGTAGAGATAATATAACAACTAGCGTGCACAGGTACAAGCTGAGAAAACAAATTCTTGTTGGCTGTATGGTAGTATCGGATCATTAATATGTGAATATATGAGACTTACACAAAGAAAAGATCACAAAATTCATAAATCTATCATCATTTAAATGAATTATATGTGTATAATTAACAAATACTAAACAAATTTAAAAACACTTCAATGGATTTTTTTTAATTCACAGCCTATCAAAGTTGTTCAATACAACATCAATACAGAAGAATTATATTCATACCTGAAGGAATTCATTCACATGCTTTATTTCAGGTAGGAGATGCTGCAGTAAATGTTTCTGTGTTGGGAGATTACCTTGGAAAGAGATTGCTTAGATATTGGATTAAGTAAGATATCAATATGGTTGTATTATGCATTACAAAGCTTCCATTTCCTATCCTAGGAGTTGATATTATAGCCACTATCCAGAATTTATGGCGTTTGCTCTTAGAATCATATCAAACTTTTTGATGTCTGGTAGGACGAAGCTTGCTCACCTTTTTAAAGACCGACCGAAATCAATATTTATGAGTGTATAAAGCATCTTAGTTTGCAGTACTCTGATCTGACATAGCCTGAAACCCAGGCATCACTGCTAGATTCAAACTGTAATATATTTTATTTTCATATAAGCTAGCATGATGTGTGAGTCCAGCTCTTGTAACTTATTTAACAAACTATGGCTAAGTATGATTAGTGACCCCAACTGCTCAATTCACTGTTATGGTTTATAGGTCACAGTCATAACATTATTTTTTCAATTCTTTTTTGATTATCATCTATCAATTGATCAGGCTGACTTAAAGAAGACAGAATGCCTTTCTCTTTTAAAATATTCATAAAAATAAAAAGAGGCACGATGTGGTTTGCAATATAACTAAAAGTAAAAATAAAAAAGTAAAAATGTGAATATGAATATCATTTCATAATATAAATTCATACATTTATATAGGCATCAAACACTTATTTCCCTAGGATTGCACAGCTACTTTCTAGCCAGGGTAATGCTTTTTTAAGGAATTGTTGACATATGCTTGCTCTGAATCATTTTTTTTCCTTCAAATCTGGATTTCTACTCAGCTCTGTGAAAAATGAATATAGGCAAATATAACTGGAATTAAGCGTTAACCTCAATATACTTGCTTCTCTGAAGCCCAGGCATATGTTAATTTCCTCATTATAGAATACCTGAGAGTCTAAAGGCCAAGCAAAATGGGAGGATACTATTGTTGTTGTTCAGTCATTAAGTTATGTCTGACTCTTCGTG